TACTCTTGTATTTGTTTTATAATTCCCGACAATGCAATAATATTTTAATTAGCAGTGTTACGAGTTTACACAGATTATTTTTATTGATACTAATCTAAAAGACACTATATAAAAACTTGGAGCAAAGTACTAATTGTGTTTAACGATTTACAAGAGATGGAATTAAGTGGAAGAATAAAATATAATTAATTGAAAGTCTAGCCTGAAAACATAAAATTTTGGTAAAACGATGAAAATAGTGAGGTACACCATTTTTGATTGCAACTGAGTAAGTGACATAAAAATTGCAGACTAGTTTGGAGAGTCTAATTCACCAAATTGAGCTGGTCAAGATCATTCTCCATTGAAGAGGTCCAAAATTCAAACTCTTCAAATGTAATTCTATTTTAATTATAATTGTTTTCGATCACGTGTTAATATTGACAAAATCTTCGATTTTTTCGATCACTTCTATCCATTAAATCTTCTAATGCTCTATTACCTTTGAGCACATAAAACAAAAATATAGACTACTAACGAGTCCACCAGTTTTGTCATTGGAATTAATCAATTAGCAAATAGTTGTGTCATTAAGAAAATTACTATATTTGAATGAAGAATCATGAATTTTAATGAGTGGTCCGCGCCAGGCAATATTTCAAGGTGCAGCACGTTGGCAAACAGTAGCCGTTGACATGATAGTTATAAAATAAATTCGTTAATGTTGACAACCTTATTAGATGAATCTACATATCAAATGGAACCGCTCCTTTAATAGTTTCATTGTGTTTAGACATTTTTATGGAGGACGAGAATTTTGGAACACTTCCATAATAGATATAATAACCATTAGGAAAGAAATTTCTATAGTTCAAGACAAGTAATCTTTACATCTAGGGAAAGGCTTGCTTAGAAAATGTCTAATTGATGTCACTATTTATATCCTAGTATGGTTTTTACTCTTTAAAAATAGCTCTTCAAGTCACCATAGTGCCATGTCAATAAATTCAACTATTGCTGAAAACATGTAAAACTAGTTAGCCGAAAATTAGAAGATTAAAACAACTATGGGATGCAATCTAGTAAATAATTAAAGTGATCAATTTAACCTAAAACGTTGATATCCTTTTTTAATAATTTTCGGTCAACTCTTAAATCAATTGATATTTACATTTGTGGCAAGATTTGATATGGCAAGGGGTTTGTAATAATGACCTATTGCAAAATTAGAAGAAACATTTACACAAATACAATTGTGTTGGTAAACTTGAGGTTTTCAAGTTACCAAGAAAATCAACTATGGTGAAATTTGTAACGTAGGGTTCAGATTAAAATGATCTATTAATTATTGTCCTAAGTAATTTTGACAACAATTGCTATGGAAAGACTTTCATTGGAATCATTTTTAGTGAGAGGTTTTTGTAATTCACACCTTAGCCAAGTGATCGTAAAAGATGTAAACTATCAACATAATCAATATTGACAATACTCTAGTTCCATACCATTGGTGACAATACTCTAGTTCCAGAAGAGTTTTACAAAAGTTAAGATAATTAAAACTGTTATTTGGAGTAAATTGAAAATGACGATACCTGAGGTTTTCAAAGGTTCAAGTTTAACTATTTCGATAAATCTTTTTTTTAAATCCCAATTAGGTTAAAACATAATAACATTGATCTATTGACAAATTTATATATTTTTCAAATTCCCAATTGTTTGACCCAAGACTTACATTACAATCGTCTTAACAATATAGCTACTCCATAATGCTTTGTATAAATGAATTGCAAAATATTACAAATTCAATTCCATATGTAAATTCTCCTTCACCGAGTTCGTTCATACCACTCCAGATTACTTAATTGAATCTTAATTCCCAATTTATATCACGCCTCGGTCGTTACTTTCGACAAAATCGTTCGCCATAAGGAATTCGAATGGATAACGTCTGCTCTTCTCGTTATTAGATATAGCATAATTAGCATAACTAATTTCGTGAACAGAATATCATAGTAGGCAGCGAGCTAGTTTCACACTCATAAAAAATAGTTCTAACACATGATGTGAAGTCTAAAGGAACTCACCTTATACATTGCTTATAAGTTACACATAAGTTATATACAGGTATAAAAAAGTTTTAAAAAGTGTAAACACTAGCACATCTAATAACGGTTCTCTTGTAAAAAAACGACTTTGAACTTTTTTCACTTTTTAAGAAAAATCATGGTAGGTCTATCATCAACAGTTTACTTCTACTCAAATTCAAAATTAGGATATCTACAATTTTTCAACTTAATTTTTGCAACGCATTATATGAGTTTCTACATATTTGAGTAAGGTAATAATCGAAATTAGCAAAATGGCGGATTAAGCTAGTAGGTACTCGATAAAATCAGAATTTAAAATTCGTTCTTGATCATATTACTTTTCTATGATTTTTTCATATACCTCAATATTGTAAAATGGGCTTCTAAAGATATGAGTAAAAATAAAATAAGAATTTTGAAATGAATAGAATCCACACAAGTTATAATATTTTTCAATGCAATTAGAAAATCGAATATTTAACAGATATGTATATATTTAAATTGAAATCAGTATGATGGTTCGTGTGAAATAAATTTTAGCTTCCAAAGAAAGCTAACACGGTCGATTGACTAACGCATGTGCACCTATCAAAATTCATAAATCGTGCTCCTATAATTATTAGATCAATATGAAATTCTATACAACATTCAATTTATATGTATTGGGTAGACTGATTGTGTCTGGAACACCAGTTGAATTAACACTATAGAAACATTTTTATGACAATGTTGACTATGTTGTTTGTTTTCAAAATCAAAAAACATATCTGTTTTACTTGTTTTTTTTTTGTTATATATCTATATATATATATATATATATATATATATATATATATAACATCTACAAAATATCAAATTATTATCATCACCTGATCTCTTGCAAAAGTGCCTCTCCCTGTGCTATTGTGTTGGAACAAGCCTCAAGGGCCGCGGCCCGATGCTGCGCGCACTGCTCTAACAGGCGTTCGGCCCCTTCCCACGTGTCACCTCCTGGAATCTGACCATCGTCTTCACTGCACAAATCTGCACGAAGCTCATCCACCCAAGTTGATAACTGAAATAGAAAGAAAAGATATTTATTACATGGAGATAATAATTTGTGAAAGATTAAATAAAAAAAACTTGATCTAAAAGTCCTGATCAGCAAAGAGTTGGCAACGATTATCATAATTGGTAAACAAGAACTCTTTGATGTTGCTCATATTGACTGGTTAAGACTCGTCCAATATCTGAGCAAGCTGAATGAAATAATTCTTGAATATTGGTGAAGAACATATTTGTTAAATACGCATAAAGTCTAAGGTTATCTACAAAGAGTTGGCAAAAAATTATCATAATTGGTAGACGAGAACACTTTGATGCTTCTTAACAAGATCTCTTTGATTACTCATATTGACTGATCAAGACTCGTCCAATATCAGAGCTAATAATTGCCGAATGAAATAATTCTTGGATATTGTTGAACCATCATACATCAATTCTTTTAAGGATTTCATTACTGAACTGATAATACAATGTCAAAAGTAGGAACAACTAAAAATTCAATCACGAAAATATGAAAATATAAATTTTCTATTAAAATTTACCTCTTTTTCGTGTGTGTAGAACAGAACAGCCAAATCCAATCGTCTCCTCCTCTGTTCTACCCTGTTGGCAAATGCAGTAACTCTTTGTTCTAATTGTCTGGCTACAGAACAGACTTGTTGGGCATCACATTCGCCACTTCGAGCTAATTCTTCGGCTGCTGCTAACAATTTTTCGGCATTCGTATAAGTGTTCTGCAAAAAAAAAAACAAAAAAATATTAATAAGGTATACTAAATTCGAATCTAAGAAGTTTGATAGATGATGCTGTAACTACAACAACGATACTTATATCCCATTATATAATATTATGAACAATTTATTTATTTATTACAACAATCATTTCCTTCAGATTTTCCCATTTACGAAACCTCGATTTCGCTTCGCATATCAATCTCTTCATACAAAAGTACCGCAACGAATGTTACAATAAGAACAATCCCATAACAAAACGCAAAATCGATGATAGCCAGAAGACATTGGATGCTTAGAAAATTTACCTTGTCATAATCCATGGATTATAGAAGGTAGATATAGTATGCTTTGCCCTTCGAGGGTTCTGTACCAAGTGTTAATAAGGCATTTTTGCAACAAGAACTATTCAATTCCCAATCAATCAACATTCATGGGAGATCATCACTTATAAATCATTGGATGAACAGCTTAATAGAAAAATCAATTGGAAATGAAATTCATCGCTTTTCTCATACAAATATTATGGGCATTTATTGTTATCAATAACAGACAGTTTTAATTAAATTATTCCATTTTATAAAACGATTGTACAAATTACGTCTATTTTTTCAGATACTTCAGTTTTAATTAACTTATGCGTCTCACTGTTTTTGACGTATAAAATATGCTTGTATCAGTTTTTAATTGAGTTGTCATAATTTGACGTGTACCACCTTATATATATATATATATATATATAATAATTTCAAGTAAAAATCTTTCACAAAGGCCAAATGACCATAAGTAGTAAATGAGTCTATTGAGAACCTTGGTAGAAAAAATCTCCTTATTTAATAATCTTTTTAAGAAAAATACGAAATTTTATTAATAAAATTAGTTAAAATAATTAGTTAAATAAAGATAAGAAGCTACTACTGCTAATCTATTGTATGAAGTATAAAAATGCGGAATTATATAAATGATGTGAAAGACTTGTTTATAAAAATGATATACATGATGTAAATCTTTATAGAATGTGATTTAAGATTTATTAGACATTATAAATCAATTACTTTCTCAAATTTTATAAGGCTAATAAAATTAATGTGATATCAAAACTATTTTCTCCTCGACTATTTTTTACCAATTAGTTTTGAACTTTTTTCTCCCATTGTGTGAGCAAATTCTAAATTCGAATCCAACATTCGTTTAAAAAAAAAGTCCAACTGTAGTACACCGGAACAGTTAGATTGATAAAAGGCAAGACCAAAAGGCGTATCGACAAAAGCAACGGAATTGTACTACACTAATAATATTACTTGAAGATCTGACAAGGCAACAATAACATTAACTATATGTAAAACATTGGTTGTCAAAGTTTAACCAGCACCAAACTACCGATTTTTTTAGTAGAACCATAAGCCAATTGATCATATAATTCTCATAATTCTGTGTACATAATATCTACACCTTTCAAAAATTAAATATATGTGGATTTGATTGTCAAAAAAATATATATGTCGTTGCTGCTATGTTGTACACATTTTCAACATAGATGTCTACAATCCATTAGGATTACAAATTTTGGAGGCAAGATACCATCAATTAAACCATTTGATTCCGGCGTGAAAAAAAACATGTACCAATAGTGACCCTTTTGAAAAATAGGACGACAATGTCCATGCTATGGTTCTTCTAGAAAAAAAAATTGAAAAGAGTCTAACACATTTTACAGAGGATTAGATATTGAAGCCAAACAAATCTTTGCTAGAATCTTGGTCACCATGTACTACTCATAATCTTTTTCAGAAAATAGGAGCCATCATTTAAAAGGTTCTATACATCTTTTGTGAATCTCAAAAGATTCTGATGTACTTTACAAAGAATTATACATTTGGAGCCATAAAATCATTCCAATTTTGGTCAACATGTACCACTTGTAATCAAAAGCCATCAATCCTAAGCTTCTATGCGTAGTTTGTGCAATTCAAAAGCTTATAAGGAACTTTGTAGTGTTCAAAAATTTGCTAGAATTATAAATTTAGAGTATAGAAGTCATGATTCACCTTTTGGATACCACTTATGATTTTTTGGGGAAATCCAAAAACTACTGAACTATCGTTACTAGAACTCATAACTATAGATGTTCTTTTCATGTAAGTTCAAAAGATTGTAATATATTCAATAGAATTTGTCAATTTGTTGTAATTATGAAAATTAACATTAAAATTGTTGTTCATAACTACTAAATGTTTTTGAATTTTAAAAACAAATTGTTTTGAACCTTGAAAAAGAATCAAATTTGGAGCAAAAACGGTTCATGATTGAAATTTGGCCAGATGTCATATACTAAAAACAGAAGACTGGAGAATTTACTGATGATGAGAGATTTGGAATGAATTTTGATGATGACTATCAGTGGATGTACTGAAAGTAATCTGACGGGTTCAGGGATCGCATTACAAAAATTTTTATAATTTCTAGAACAGCCTCTAAAATGACATTGTCCTTAAACTTTGACAACCTCTCCACCAGATTATAGGATATTCCGAGCATAGTAAACCCAAAGTCGCGTTAGATGATCCATATCGTGGAGTTAATGCAATATGCATAAACCGTGACTGTTGCAACAATTGCCTTGCAGTTCCATATCAATAAACTTATAAACTAATTTCTATGTCATCTTGCACAGTTATTCATACATTTGCATCTATTAATTTATTTAATCATTCATATTAATTGTGTGCTTGGTCATAGATGAAGTAATTTAGAACGAATTTATATGGATGATATAGTGTTTTTCACGCAAATGTAAATGATATATGATAATTGACATAGTAATGATCGATCAAGAAGATCAATTATATCAATTTCAATGCGAATTGGAAATGATAACTAAATTTTTAAAAATTTGGTAAAATTTATAGAAATAAACAGTGACTTAATAAAAAATTAGTACACAAGTACTAACAAGGTATTAAATAAATTGTAAATATTAAATTAAGAACCTAGATTTTTGAAATAACTTTGAATGTTGGAAATTCGAATACAATTCCAATTTGATGATATAACAGTTAATTTAAATTATTATTTTTACTATTTCTTAGTTAATTTGCATTCATATTAAGTAATTTTTTGTATAATTTTTCTAGTTTGAAATTCTTTTATTTAAACCTTGATTTATCAAAAATATTTGATTTTTACATTTGAATCGTTTTTACGGTGAAATCAATTATACTATAATTACTTAAGAATTGCTAGAAGCTGAAGTATGTATGATCGATTATTTTCCATATTTTTTTCAAAAATAATACTTTATATATAGTGCTAAATGATTTGAATCAAAATCATATATTCATAAAATTGATACTCATGTATAATCCATTATTTTTAATATTTATTAGAAATATACTTTATTACATATAGTGCTAGGTGATTAAAGGTCAATGAAAATTCATATAATCATAAAATTCATATGTTTTTCATAATGTTTTAATAATGCATTAAATTTAAATAATAAATTTAAAATATAAGCTTATAATCCTCATTAAATATATTTTTTATATTCTTCCTTAATTAATAATATTATAAATTTGAATTTAATAAATACTTAAATCAATAATATTATAAATTTTAATTAAATAAATCCTTAAATTAATAATATTATTAATTTTATGTACTTGAAAGATAGCCAAACTGTGACTTAATTTTATATACTTGAGAGAGAGCTTGATTCTAAACCTAACTCAAATTTTCCAAAAGCTCTTTGAAAATCATTTTAATTGGATTTCCTGCTCTTTGCATATGTATATTTAATTATATATATATATATATATATATATAAATACATTTATTTATTTATAATTGAATAACCTTTTGAATGTTCACCGAACGATTCTATAATTTCTTGCTTTCAAATACGCCTGGTATACAATTTCAATAAAAGCACAACGTTGGTTTCTTGAAGACGTAGAGGCGTATTATATCAATATTATTTATTTATAGGAAATTCAATTTACGTTCAAATCAACGGAAAATATATTTATATCTATAGGCAAGTTGCAGAAATTTGTTTCGTTGGAGTCGCCAACTCCCTATAAGTGCAAAATACAATAATTTAAATACAAAAATAGTCTCTTTCCTTAATAAAAATATAGTTGTAACTAAAACCTTTGGACAATAATAAAAAATATCTAATATAAAAATTAAATAAATATTATTAAAAAATATCTAAAATGAAATCATATATTATTATTAAAAAATATATAATATATTTTAGTTCAAAATACGAATTTGGAACTACTTATTTAAATAATAAATATATTTTAAAATTTAATTTAAGAAAAAATAAAATCTACGAGGTATACGATGGAGATTTAATTTTACTCGTATTTTGTAACTATGATTTTACAATACTATTTTTTCGTGAAAAATGGGTGTTGTTGTATAAAAGCAAGTTATTGAAATTTATCTGTTAAAACCACAATTTAGGATATACGCAATTTTTCGCATATATTTTGTATCTGTTTAAAGTATAATGATTAAATAAATATAAAATCATCATAAAACTTTTAAGCAATTTAATGGGTATTGTTGTATAAAAACAAGTTATTGAAATTTATCTGTTAAAACCACAATTTAGGATTATAAAAAATCATCATAAAATTTATAAAACTTTTAAGCGACATCATATCGAGTTTTCAAAAATATCGCATTAAGTTACAGAAAAGTATTTTTTCTTTTCAAATAGTATAAAAGTTTGAATTTACATTTGCTTTTAAAGCACGATTAAACTTTAGAAACTAGAGAAAGAAATCGATCAATCTCCATCCAAATAAAAACGAAGTTCTAAAAAATATCCTTAAAAATAATGTTTTTTATTTTACTTCCAAGTTATAAAAGAAATTGCAAAAAGCATAAAATCAATAATTAAAATAAATAATATGATAATTAAATTATATAACTTAAGAACCCAGGATTAATATAACAAAAATTAAGATAAAGTTCAAGAAAATTTTTTCCAAGACATGAAAAGAATTGCAAATACTTAAGAAATCAATATACATAAGTTAAAATCATATGAAAAATAAATCAAATTGGAAAAACCGTTTTCCAAGTCGTGAAAAAAATGCAAAATTTTAAGAAACCATTATATACATGAATTATATAAAAACAAATAAAATTGAAAAAACCGTTTCAAAATCATGAAAAATTAAATAAATAAATAACATTTAAATATAAATTTAAATGTTAGCTAATTAGTTTAATTTTTTCAAAAAGGTCTTTTTGATTTTATTCATTTTTTATATTATTTTATCTATGTACATATGTAGATTTAAATATAAATTTTCTAATATCATTTAATTTGCTACAATAATAAAAATATTGCAATTTCATTCAAATATTATTATCTTTGTACCATCTCTTTTCGAATTTATCCAAATTCTCATACAATTACATATCTTTCAATCATTTGCAAAGAACTTAAACCTTGTTCAGAATAAGTTCTGCAAAAAAATATTTATTTTTGAAAATTAAACATTTGACAGTAGGTATTTATGATAATTACAGTAGTTGAAATTGAAGTACTTTGCACGTTAAGATGCACATGACTGGCATTTAAATAATTTCAAAGATACGAAGGCAGATTTATAGAAGAATATGCAAAAGAGCAAATTATTTGTAAAAAAGTTACTTCTTGAGACTTTTTTATCTGGAGTATAGTAAAAGACTACTTGGTCTTTGGTTGAATCGTAAAACAGTCATTTATGAAGGTCATATAAATATTACTTTGTCTTTGTTCTCGCAGAATTGTCCAGTTTCATTGTTTCCGAACGTATTATAAATACTAATATTCTGTATTTAAAAAATGTTATTAGTAAAATAAATATTATATTTCAATCATTGCATTTGATTGCTGTATAATTGCAAGTGATATAAAATTTATAGATCGGTCATTAAACCCGCAGCAAGTAACTTCGAAGAAGATGGACCACCGGCGTCTATCATTTTATTTCTGCGCAAATAAGATAATTGCTAATAATTACCAAGAAAACAATTAAAATATTGTTTGTAACACTGAATGATTAATTATTCTATGATAAAATTCTAGTCACTTTATATTTACAGTCCTTGCCGGCATTTTAAAACTATCAAAGTGTAGGTGTTGTCATTCTTCCCATGTAAGTTCTACGAAAAAAGTTTTTTTTTTCAGAAAATCTAAGAAGGAGAACCCTTTCGTAGCTTGTCAGGACTTTTAGTGAAACTTAATGAGAGATTTGGTTCTCAAACTGACCACTGTAATATATTAGAGGCCTATGGAAAGTAGTTTAATTATAAAAATTGATTCAAGTTCGCGCAGTCACTTTTCATAGGCCTTTGATGTGACAATAAGTTTTATTTTATTCCAGAATTGAAATATAAATATTTGATTAAAACAGTAAACTAGAGTTTCTACCCATCTAAAGATAGATTACAAGATTGTTTAACAAATATCAGTTTGCTCTTATAAATATTTTAGCCATTCGTGATCCGCAAGAAATAAGTATATTTCTACCATATTACCTTCACGTTTTTCATTTTTGTAAATTTTTCCTGTTACATTTCTTATTTATATTTCCATAATAAAATTATAATACAGTTTGCCTTAATAACATATGATCAGACACATTTGAATGAATTTCGCATAATGAACTAGTTGTGATGACCACAGACTGTAGAAATTAATGCGCATGCGGATTGCATAATGTATGAATTCATGAATATAAATTTATTCATGAATTAATTGTATCTTTATTAAATAAACGTGCTGGATGTTGATTTGCTTTTGTTTGTTTTGCACATCATCATAAGAGACGAGAATTTCCATTAGACTAAGTAAGAAAAAATTGATTTCGGGAAAATTTTACATGGAATTTGATGGAAACTTGTATCGTGATAAAATGCCTGGGTAAACAATCCCCAAAAATATTATAGACCGATTAAAATATATATCGTACTTGCTGCAATCTGGTGTTTTCAAACACTTTCTATGCTTTTAATCTATGAGAAAATTATTTCAAACTAATTAATTCTGTATCAAAATCACTTAATTAGCTTTCCCCATCAATCAACATTAATATATTTTCTGATAAAATAGCAAGCACTTCTTAAAAGAAGCCTTTGAGATCAATGCACTAAGTTATTACGATAAGTAGAGTTTCAAACAGAAATGCCTTTTAAGTGGTGCATTATCACATAATATAATTTTAAAAAACGCATTACTGTAATATATAATAAATTATTCACACCAGTGATAAATAGACATTAGTATTATGTACCAACAATTGGATTAGTTAAAAAAAAGCTGTTTAAAAAAGCTGAAACTGATCTGTAAAACTAGGAGAGGCTTGCTTAAAAGAACACAAATAAAAATAAATAAGCAAAAAAAAAAAAATTCAATGTATGTTATAGTACGTTGCATGAAAATCGCTAAATTCGCAAATGAGCAACTTTGTGTCAAATATATTTTGGGGCATTTTTGTACAACAACTTCTAGCTTTCAAGTTTTTCTTGATGTGTAACTTTTACAATGTTTTGTTTCAACACGTTTTACGCATGTTAAAAGCATTTAAACTAGTTTTCTAAGACTACTAAAACCACAATGCGAACAATGATACCATCAGCACAGTTCTCATAAACCGAGTTGAATGATCCACATATGCAGATCAGGTGTCAATAAATAATTTTCAAGGATAATTTGGTACAGTACACTATTTATTGTTTCAACACTTGAAGGATATGAATAGAAATAATTATTTTTAATATTGTATATAATCACATGGCACTCCTTCAGAGTTTGGCTCTGTACGGATCAGAGACATGTTGGTACTCCAAGAAAAGCTCACTAAAATTTTTCTGAGAGTTGTGAAAAGTTAAGGTAAAAAATGAAAATAAGGAACATCTCTCTATCCAGATATCACTGTGAAAAAAAACTGGATAGGACCCATATTAACAAAAAGTGCCTTCGATGTAAAAAACAGAAGTCAAGCTAATAATTTATAGACTCTTATAGAGCTGAATTGACCAGTGTGATATTATTTTTCATACAAAAGTGGTATCTGTCCTTCTTCGTGTGAAAACAGCTTTAGAACAACCCAATGTCATAATTAATATTTTGGAGTACAAGTAATATATTGTCCCGGCATTTCGGATGCACTCACGCCTACTCGAGGGTACTTAGGACGAATTTCCAAGTGCCGCAGAAATGGCAATAATGCGAACTTTGGGGGGTCTGTGTTGAAAATTAAAACCGCAGAACGTATCGTAAATTCTCATTAAGTTTCACAAAATATGCAAGTTGGGGAGTAATGCATACACGAAGGGCTGCATCACCATAATAAAAAATAATAAAAACTGACTTAGATGAATCTATCACATTTAAGTACAGGATTAGTTTTAGTATTGCCTCAAGTAAACCACTAATCGTATAAACCACTATTTTAGTCTTTTCATTGTTTCAAGAAGACATCTCTCAAACCAATTTCATTTTTTTTTTTCAATTCAATCACAAATATCGATTGACCCGAGAACCGAACCTTGCGGAACACCCATTCGCAATATTAAATTTCTATTATACATGTATGTGTTTGCATATTATTCCAATTATCTCCAACATCCGACCTAAATCCACAACGTCCATTTCCTCAAGTAACCCACTGGAGCTATTAAAACCCCACCAGTCATACTGACAACCCATTCTCTCCAAAGGATGTCTTGATTAAAACTTATTCATGAGCGGACATAACCGCACGTCCTACGACAGAGAATTAACAATTTTCTTAGGAGTCGTTGTAAGATGGTAAAATGGGCTTGAAGAAAATTATTTGTCAGATGAAATGGGAATGGCTGTAAAATTGTCAAATGCAGAATTCTAGAAGAAAAGTCGTCAAAGTTAGTAAAGGAGAATGTACAATAATGTATAATTTGCAAGAGTATGATTACTTTCAAGTTCTGAATATTTTTTGTCTATTCTAATTTGCCTTAATTTATTTGCAAAGCCCTATAATAAATTAAAGAAATACACATCAACTAATTTAAATAAAATTTATAATATATTTGAAAGTTTGGTTAAATTAGAACAGGACATTACTAAACTTCTAAAATCTGAACGTGTATGATATAATAAATTATTTTAAAGATTATTTCAATAAACCAAGGACTAAAATTGACATTGAGACATTGAAAACAGTTACTTCCAAACAGCTTGAAATACATGAATTATGAAAACAATATAACGTGCTTTATTGTTTAACAAGTAAACAATAAACAAACTAGTATTGTCATAAAGTCTTATATATTGTTATAAAATCAGTTTCGAAATCATGATGTAGAAAGTACCGGAAGATAGTTTATGTCCAACATGGATCACGTTATAATTTGAAAAGCCAATAGTAATAAACTGCACGCATTCAGATATAAATTGCAGAAAAATAATATATGATACGCCCTTAAAAAATAAGGTGGATTTTCGAAAGCAATGCAATTGGAAACAGAGAGCTTTCTGGATGATAAAAATGGTATTGAAGAGAGATTGTAGTTGACTGACGACTTGGTGGAAAAGAGGAAACACACCAAACACATGAGAATAGAAAAATGAAAACAAAAAAGGTCAATTACAACTTAAAAGAAAAACATAGTGGGTAAAAATGTAGTATTGCCCACACCAAAGACCGGCCTTCGATCGATTTACGAGTTACCAACTAATATCAAAATTTCACTTTACAACTGCCAACCTAAACTTTTATAACGCAACTCGAAATGTCCAAGTACAAATCCCAATATCATATATAAATCTACAATCCTGTCTAAACTTTCAACCCCTAAAGCTATTCACCCCATGGTCAGTGCAAATGATAGGTAGGTTATGAATGCGACCCTAATTAGTGGTGAATATTATTATTTACGATCACTGTCCATTTCAGAGGATCCTCATATGCAGTGTCTGCAAATGCAAAATACTCTGTAAGGGCACCCTCCATTGGGTCATATTCAATGTGGTAATTATATCTTTAGTAAGGGATGAAACATGTAAAGACATTGTATGGGAAGTAATAGTAATAGTAATAGTAGGTGATGTTATGTTTAAGATGAAGTTAATGGTGAATGACCAAGGGCTGAGAGAGAAAAGGCATTTACCAAAAGTTTCGAATCTTAGTCTGAGTTATCATCAGGGCAATACTAAAAAACTTAGGAAGAAGATTAGGCACTACTATTAATATACTAAAAATATTTATAAAGCAATAGAAGAAGCAATCAAATCACTGTCAAACCCACTCACATAAAATGTCATAAAATGATTTTTTTTATTAAATCAACATATTTATATTATTACACCCTCAGAACATAGACCTTTATTAACAACTTACTAATTTCTAAATTGATTCAAAAATTAATATAAAACTATTATTTTGTAGATACCTCATAATTCATCTAGACAATTTAATATTTCAACCTCTTCTACCCACTGCAACATCAATAAATTTACTTCTGAAATCAATTTTATTCAGCAAAAAAAATATCTGCATACGCAAATCAAACGATTCAAGACAAAAAAAACTCTTTATATCGACGAGGAAATTTTTTTCTGTTCTTCGAAGCGTGAAAAACGCTTTGGAAAGAAAAGTGAAAACTGCTGACTGAGTCCATAATGCTAGGAGTATATTTTATACATGGTGATTAAATGTATAGACAGAAAAAAACTGTCTGTTGGATGTAGACAAAGATCCAATATTGGAAAAATACTGGAGGTGATCTCTTTAGGCGACGATTTTCTGAGGGTTGTTTCATATAGCCTTGATATGAAACTTCGTAATTAAGGCTTTTATAAAGAGCTATGCAAATGTTAACTTTTTATAAACTTTTTGTGATGCTCCCAAAATTTATTAACATAGTACACAATGTTTTATTTAATATTGATTATGAACAAACTGTACGTCTGTTAGGTTAGTTATTTTATTATTACCTAAATGGTAATTTTGATCATGATTCACAATATAGTAATTTTCCAGTTAATGAAGGCTAGGATTTTGGTTAAAACGTATGAATATCAAATAAACTTAGAATTATGGAAACCCAACTCATTTATATTATATCGACATAAATTTCAAGATTCACATAAGAATATTATATGAATATGTGTCTATTTATAAATATATTATTGTGGCATCAAAATCACGATACGGGTAATAAACTTCTGAGACACAATAGATTTTCGACATTGTCAATGTGCAGCATTGTTCTTTCAAGAAAGTTTAAATGGAAAGCTTTTAGCATAAGAAAAGGAAAATGTTGGGAGAAAATAGGAAAAAGGTTTCGGAAAAGATTTATTGTAATGTATATCGTCTGAGATTATGCGCCATATGCGACACAACATTACTGCAATAAGAATATATATAGTATGTATATTTATATATATATATATATTATATATATATATATATATACATGTGTGTGTTGAATTAAGTGCTTTATCCAGTTGGTATTGTTTAAACAATTCTGCAATTTTCATGCAAAAATAATTTTAGAATAAATACTATAGTTTTTATCCAAGTTCGTAGACATCGAATATTATTATACACCCCCTAAATTCTACATAATTTGATAAGCACCCTGTAGTAAAACATTTGTCAGTACATCACTCCGAAAAGGGAAGAGAAAAGCAAATATTGATAATTCGATGAAGTATAAATCAAGTCGAGATGGGGCCAGACTGGGAGACTGGAAATTTTTATCAAAATAACTTATGATAATATTAAAAATTAAAAGAAAGATGATATTTTTTGTAAAAGTTAGTGATATAAAAATATAAATAATATTTATCAAATAGTAAAAATTAATCACTAAAGGCTCAGTGATGATGATGAATATAAAAGTGAGAAGAAAGTAGGTTATTTACGATTTGAAAATTTTATGCATAAATATGAAAAAACATCTTGAATTAACTAAATCAATAAGGAAAGTATTTTTAAATAAGAGTATTGCATCACCATATGTTTTGACTGAAGACTGAAAAAAAACTATTGATGGTAAAAATTTTAATAAATATAGAATAATTGTTATCTTTTTATACTCTATAGGAGGTGATAATGCTAGTGCAATAGAAAAAAAAATTACCTATGTGTACATAGTAACTCAAATGTAGTAGTGATAGTGCATCTATCAAATTTATTCTACAAATTTTTATCTGAAATGTGTACTACATTTTATCATTTGTCGTATGTGCAAATGTTCGATAAATAAATATTTATGCTTATGTCTTCGACTTCCATTCCCATTATGTCTTTTATGAACACTCCCATGACTACATTTCAAGAATTCGCATTGGCAAATCGATGAGGCAAAGAGATTTCATGGATAATTTCAAAAAATATCCGTGTGGTTTGTCCTGTCAATCAAATGATTGGATATATTTCATTCCGTGAGACAGGTGTCAAAATGAACAAGATATATATATATATATATATATATATATATATATATTATACATATATATACACACACATATATATATATATATATATATATATATAATGCCGTTATTATGCAATTCTGCGTACGACATTATTCAATCTTCTAGAAAAAGCTAATGGAATGACTAGGACAAAAATAATAACTGGGAATAGATTTTCAATTTGTTGTAATTTATTTTTGTTAATCAAGACTTAATGTCTTATTTACAAAATTGATAGGTGCAAAAAAAAATACAAAAAATCGAAACAAAGTTAAAATAAAATAAAATAATAACAGTAATACAAAAATAATAACATAAATGAAATATGACGTGGTGATGTATGCCACGTACTAAGTTAGGGGCTAGGTGTTTAGTAGATCGGAAGGCCTCTTAAAGGCCTTTAAAATTAGTCTTCTTAAAGATCTGTGAATCGCTTGATTTGTAGAATTTGCATGCTGGATTAATTTATTGTTGAAAGATGAACTTCTAATTTGATCATTTCGTTGACTGTAGAGATTTTCAAATCCTTATGTAGGCAAACTTAAAAAAAAATTCAAAAATTAAACTAAAATTAAAAATACACGTGATGTTTGGTGGTGGAGGAGGGAGAGTAAATTTGAATATCGCCATGTATCACCAAGGGGAGGGGAGATCTAAAAATCCTTAAAAACTTGCTCCCGTGATAATGGACGCCCCCTTTGACATAAGTACCAAGAGCTCACGAAAGAGTACCCGTCATAATTGCACATGTTTTTCGTTAAAAAAATTATTTAATAGAAAACATTTAAATTATTTATTGAATATAACCACTGATTATAAACATAGTTTAGCAAATTTGAATGCAACTGAATGAATTATATTTCAAGAAATTTATTTTGACTATCTGCTCTATCACCATGCGAAGCTTCATCAAAGTTCTCCCTATTAATCATATATCTTAATCTTAATATAAATTGTCAACTTAGGGTAACATTTACTAACCAATCACTTCTACACTGACTACTTATTTCTAAATTACTTCTTAGGCAGATTGCAATTATATAATTGAGAAAAAGAAAAAAAACTATTACGTGAAAAACAGTTCCTCGCCTCACAAGACGATTGTTAATGTGACTATGCAACGTTCTATTGTAATACAGAAAAATCCAAATAGTCCTCATCTTTTCTCACAATCACCATCATCCTCCTTATAAGGATATAATCAATTTGCTAATGCAAACTGGTCTCGTCTGGAGTCCCATTATATCATCCAACACTACGTTTCGTTTGTAGAATAATGTGCGTAGCACGTGCAAGAAACCATTCGAGTTCCCTCTCGCACGTGCGAAATCTCACAAGAGATT